GGTGCGAACGTCATCCACGAGGATAACGCCTATGATGGACTATGCATAGAACCTGTAACATCTAGCGATGTCGACGTTCCCTTCCGAGCCATGGCCTCTACTGTTCCGCCAGTATCTAATCGCTCAAACCATAGAGTATCTATGGTGGTAGGTGACCTATGTGTGTACGGAACCACTCGACCCGTACTCTTCGACACGGGCGCAGATATCAGCCTGATTGCTCTATCTACTCTGAAGAAACTCGCTCCCAACAAGAAGATTACTATCCCACCTAAGTCCTCTATCGGAAGAGTCCATGTTGCTAATGGCGGGCAACTAGACATCTTAGGTAAGGTCAGTCTACCCATCGGGAAGGGCACCTACACTGTCACCGATACCTTCTTGCTAGCATCCGACCATCTAAGCACACCTATTATTATAGGCTGCTCCACGATGGCCAAGCTACATGCGGTTATCTCCTTCAAACCGGAGGGATCTATCGAGGTGAAGATCGGCCATACATCCACTACGACCCCACAAGTGGAGCCTTGTGATCTAGTATCCCCCAGATCGGTGGAGTACATACGCAAGGTAGGCATCATGAACGTCATGGGCGGTCGAACGTCGAGAGACGAAGATCTACTATCGCTCTCCGCCAAAGGGACCCGAAATCTAAGCCAGTCTTACGATTTGATCGATACGCTCAAGGCATATAAATCGCTGAACTCTGAGTGTGGTATCTACCCCCAAATCGACGACGGTAACCTCGACGACTCTCTATGTGTATCCGAAGAGGCCGTGAGCTCTGGCGAAAGTCTACCTACCATCAATAAGGACGACCTACCACCTCAGCAAGCCATCAACCGAGAATGGGTTGCAGATAGCTCGGCCCCTCTAGGACGAGCTAGACCTCAAGTGCCGTGGAGAAGTCCGACATCTAGGCCGCGATATAACTATCATATGGCTAGGAAACGAGGATTGGCATCTATTAAGGCCACCACGGGTGAGCGGATGGAAATGTTCCATCGGGCACTCGATGGTTACATATCCAAGGGCTTCTGTGCTATCGTCAAGGATAATCGCCTCGACCCATCTAAGCCAGAAGCATCTACGTGCCAATCTATCTGGGAGAAGCTGAGTAAGGGCACCCCTTATCAAGGGTCACTCGCCCCTCTGCCAGAGCACTTCACAGCTAGTCATCTAGTCTACCGAGACCAACATCCAACTACGCCTTGCCGTATAGTCTTAGACTATAGAGAGGCAAATCTATACTCTCTAAGAGGCGTTTATCCGCAGAATAGTCTACATGGTACTCTACTCTTATTGAGGTCATCTAAGTACTTCGTTGCCGGTGATTTGAGTAAAGCATTCTGTAGAATGCAATCTAGCCGTGCAGACGTGCCCTATGTGGGGTATACCTGTACTGGACCTTTCACGGTCCTATGGTCACGTGTTGGATTTGG